ATTTCCCCAGTTTCTACAGTCAAGATGGCTGCCCCCACTCACAACTCCCCCCTCCCCTCCCCTCCCCTCCCCACATACACCAAGCCAAGGAAGTACTGGCAAGGCTGTCTCCTTTAGTTCCACTAGCTCAGATACTGATCCCTCAGTGGGAACATGAGCTATTTTAGAATCAGGAGCACTGCACCTGGGGAAGAACTGCCAGAAACTCGGAACCTGCTCAGTCCCAGCCAGAAAGGTTTTTGGAAATTAGAGATCTCATTGATATGCACAAATAACCTCAGGAGCATCCGAGTGTCTGAGGCAGATTTGTTGGAATTATCATGCCCGAGGTGAGGGGAGAGTTTGAGAAGGTGGGATGTTTATGGTGACCTCATTTGGTGTAGGAATTGCATTGTTGGTGTCATTCTGCGTCAGAAACTGGCTGTCCAGCCAATGGGGCTAACCAACTCAAGCTGGGTTAGCAATACTGGGGAGAGTGTATATTGAGCCACCTGTAAAAAGTTCTCACATTTGTAAATATATGTTCACTTTTTTTTTCTTCAGCTGTGTATGTGTGGAGCTCTGCCAAGCCACAACTGCAACATTGCAGTACAGGGCCTACCTTCCCTTGTGCTAGACAATGTTTGATGGTCCAGTATGTGAAGTGAGCAGGCAACAGGAAAATAGCCAGGTGACTGTAATTTGGGCTAATGTGCTCCATCTTTTCAGTGTGCTACTGACTGCCTAAGATCTTCCTCCTTCGTCACCCCTTTTCCTTCTATGCTGTGTTGTTTCTTCCCCCTGTAATTGAGGAGCCTTCCTACTTCACAATTGTAATCTTCTGCGTTGCAGAATTCTGGCCATCCAGTCCCCACAATTATGTTCCTCAGCTTCCTTCCCACAACATTGGCCCCTGACAACCGCTCCCCCCTCTCCCCTGCCACCTTGACTTCGTAGATAGACCTCCAGAGCTGACCGTGGCCTACTCCCTTGAGTAGTCCTGATGTAGCAAGGTGCATAAAACAACATGGCCACCCATTGACTGATGACAGCCATGACAATCGTCTTGGCTTTGTCAGTGCAGAAAGCCAAGGTGAGACAAAATGGGAGGCAATGGCCTAGAGGTTTTTATCACTGGACTGTTAATCCAGAAACCAGAGTAGTGTTCTGGGCACCTGGGTTCAAGTCCCTCCAGGGCAGATGGTGGATGGTAGAATTTGAATTCAATAAAAATTCAGAATTAAGAATCTAATGGTGACCATTAATCCATTGTCAATTGTCTGGAAAAATGTATCTGGTTCACCTAATGTCCTTTAGGGAAGGAAACTGCCATCTTTACCTGCTCTGCCCAGCTCTATAGCCAGAACAATGTGGTTGATTCTTAAGTGCTCTCTGGACAACTAGGGATGAGCAAAAAAAGGCTGGCCTGGCCAGTGACCCTCTCCTCCATGAATCAATTTAAAAAAAAAAAAAAAAAAATGCTGTGAGCCTGTTAACTCTGAGGGTGGCAAAATGCAAAAAGGAAAGGCAAGGCAAGGCATTGAGCATCAAACTGGACATAGAATGAGTGATGACTGACCAGCCATTAGATATAGCCTGGTCCAATCTGTGTAAAGAGTCCTGGGAGGAGCATCCCAATGATGTACAGCAAAATGTAGGGCCATCCTACAAGTGATTCAGAGATGTGCCATGATGATGCAGTGATACTAGTATGTGCTGGATGCCAATGTCTGTGGATATGGAGTGTGCCCTGAGATTTTGGTGCCTGGATGTCCAAGATAGAGGAGTAAGCAGCAAGCTGGAGTCACCAGGCAACCATTCTTTCATATTGGGAATTCTCAGCATCTAGTTTCTATCTGACGAATGGTAGAATTGGAGACTATGTATGAATGAAGCGATATTAAGTAATCTGTGTTAATGAGCAGTAGTCTTGCTAATATGCCTCTCACCAGTGAGAATCTTGTCTCGTCATTCAGCGCTTGATTGGAAAATGGTACTTTTTGCTCTCACATGACATCTCCCATAATCTTGCCATTGCGACCCAGGCTGTACATGGGTTGGGACGATTTCATCCCTCATTTTTGTGCTCAACTGCGTAAATTCACTAAAGATCCTTAAACAGTGCCTTCCAAACCCATGACCATCTCCAACTTGAAGGACAAGGGCAGCAGATACATGGGGATACTCCACCCCCTGCAAGTTCCCCTCCAAGCCACTCACCATCCTGACTTGGAAATATATCACTGTTCATTCACTGTCACTGTTTTGAAATCCTTAAATTCTCTCCCTAAGGTCATTGTGGTTCAACCTTCAGCATGGGGACTCCAGCAGTTCAAGAAGGCAGTTCACTGCCACCACCACATCAAGAACAACTAGAGACAGGCATTAAGTGGAGGGGGAGGGTGGCTGGGGAGAAAAAGGCGATGGTATTATCATTGGCCAGTTAATCTAGAGACCCAGATAATGTTCTGGGGACCTAGGTTCGAATCCAACCATGGCAGATGGTGGAATTTGAATTCAATAAAATATCTGGAATTAAGAATCTAATGATGGTTAACATAGTGTTGAAACACATTCACATAGAAAATAGGTGCAGGAATAGGCCATTTGGCCCTCGAGCCTTCACCACCATTCAATGTAATCATGCAATCTCAGTATCTCACGCCTGCTTCCTCTGAGTTCCTTTAACAAAAGTTTATTATACAAAGAAGTAATGAGTAATGCAAAACAATGTTTTGCCCTGTTTCCTGACACTACTCAAGTCCAGTGGAATTATGCCGTATCTCTCACTTTAGGGTTTTACTGAACTGACACATGTAGTCATATTCATATACCATCCTCTGCATGGAAAAGCTACCCCTCCAGTCCTTTTTAAATTTTTCCCCTATCACCTTAAACCATAGGGCTGTAGTTCATTCCTGGTTTTATCTCGAGTTATGGAGACAGCTCTGAGTCCTTTTTCAATCTGACAACATGAGCTTTCCACAAATCTGAAAGCCAGAACTTTGAGTTCTAATAATTTCCAGATTTCTAACTAAACACCTCTGGTTTGGAATTTTCACAGATTTGACCGTTCTGAAGTAACTTATTCTCCAAAAGGCCCTCAATCCTCCTCCAATGAGAGAAACTAAACCTGACTTCAAAATTCAATGCTGGTATCTTCTGAACTGAATTAAAAGAAAGCTTAGTGGCAGGAAGCATAAGGTATTGATCAAAGGGTGTTTTTGTGACTGGAAGCCTGTATCCAGTAGTGTACCACAGTATTCAGTGCTGGGTCCCATGCTGTTTGTTGTGTACATTAATAATCTAGATATGAATGTCAGAGCTTTGGTCAGTACGTTCACTGATGTTAAAATTGGTGGTATGGCAAATATTGAGGAAGAAAGCCTTATTCTGTCAGATGATATAGACAGGTTGATCAGATGGGCAAATGGAATTTAATCCTGAAAAGTGTGAGGTAATTCATTATGGGAGGATGAACAAGGCAGAGGAGTTGGATGTTAGGACCCTCGGAAGTACAGAGGGTCAGAGGGACCTTGATGAGCATTTCCATAGATCCTTTGAAGACGGAAGGACAGGGAAATAAGGTTGTTAGGAAGGCGTACAGGATACTCGTCTTGATTAATAAAGGCATTGAATACAAGAGCAAAAAGGTAATGATAGAGCTGTATATAATGATATTTAGGCCACAGATGGAGTGCTGTGTGTAGATCTGGTTGCTACACTATAGGAAGGATGTGATTGCACTAGAGAGAGTGGAGAGGAGATTCACAAGATGTTTCCTAGCTGGACTGATTCAGCTACAAAGGCAGGATAGAAGGGCAAGAATTGTTTTAATTAGAGCACAGAAGACTGACAGGCACTCACCCAGGTGAACACAGTACTGAGGGCCATAGACAGAATAGAGGGTGATAAACTTTTCCCCTGAGTAGAGGAGCCATGGTTTTAAGGTTTCAAGATGTAGGCATTTTCAAGGAGATTTGAGGAAGAATGTTTTCACCCAGAGGATGGATATCTGGAACTCACTGCCTAAAAGGGCAGTAGAGTAGGAATCCTCGCAACATTTAAGAAAAATGTGTAGATGTGAACAGAAATGTAGATGTAAATGTAGATGTGAACTGAAATGCCATAGATTACAAGGCTGTGGACCAAATGCTAGAAAACTGGATTAGAAAAGGTAAACATGTGATAACTAGCACAGACCTGATGGCCCAAAGGGTCTTTTTCTGTGCTGTAAAAACTGGCTCTAAAAGAACTCAGTAAATTCTTCTTAACTGAATACAAATGTATTGGTCTTGAACTTTTGCTCTCCCAGTTGTAACCACATTAGACAAACATCTTTCTATTAAAACTGAAGGAGTTTTCAGTCACCTGCTCTCTGACGAATCCCACAGTTTTAAAATTAGTGGTTACCCTTTCAGGACAGAAATGAGAGAACTTTTTAAAAGGGGTCACTCTAAGAAAGTGATGGTGGGGAGCACAAAAGTTGAAGAGTACATTTGATGAAGTCTTCAAAATTCTGAGGGATCTTGGCAGGTAGATTGGGAATAAATGTTTCCATTGCCAGGAGAACAGAATCGACATTAGAAAAAGCATTTACACCCACTGACTGACTGATTAGGCTCTGGAATGCACTGACGGAGAATGTGGTAAAGGCAGATTCACCTGGGGTGTTGAAAAGGAAATTATTATAATCTGAAGAGGGGAGGGAAGAAAAGCACAGCTACAGGGATACAATATGGGAATGGGACTAGCTAAATTGCAGTTACAGAACAGGTGCAGAAATAATGGGCTGAATAGCTTCCTTTAGTGCTATAACTAAGAGTCCATAAATTAGAATGGGTTGATCTGTTAACAATGAATGCACGAGAGAATATTCAGATGTCCTGAGAATATACTGTTTAAATACAAACTCTTTCACCTTGGGATTTAGTTGAGGCCCTGTCCTTTTAATAAGATGTGTTCTCTTCTCTCCTTGACCCCCTATCCCCAATCAAACCACAACCACCCCTCAAACGCAGCATACCACTGTAAATGTGTGGACACTTGGCTAACACAGACGAAAAAGACCTGCCCTGTTTGCAAGCAACGTGTTCTGCGTTCAACTGCCGATTCTGAATCGGGATCCGATGTGGAAGATTACCCTGAAGGCGATGAGCGTCAGTCGGAGCGCACTCCACTTCTCCAAGCAGGTTCGTCCTCTGCAACACAATCATTCGGCTCCATAGCCAATTCCCCCACACAGCACAGAGGGGAGCACTCATCAGATTCCAGTGAGGATGGTTACATTGCTGCCTATGCTGAGAGAGAGGAAGTTCCAGTCCACAAGCAGGAGAATCAAAGTCACTCTTCAATCACTACAGGATCTGGATCTCAGCCTAACCTCAATCCTGGGCATGTTTTTAATGTGTAGTTAGGAACCTCGGGCCTTATTATGTTCTTACCTGTAAAACTGTAATCATTGTGTAACTGCAGCTCAAAGAGGGCTTTATTTAGAACTTTTTGGGGCAACATTTAAAATACATATTTTTTGTGTGAACGGGGAGGTTCTGCTGTTAATGAGCAGTGAGCACAAGCTGGTTTAGTAACTGCACATGGGCATATTGCTCAATGCCAACCGAATACAAGCAGTTTCAACTCCCTGTAACAAATAGGCATTCAGTAGGGGGCAGAGAAAGAATAGCTCCAGAATGTGATAGATATCTCATTAAATACCACCGTGAAGAAACTCTCTCTTCCAATTTCTGTAAAAAGTGCACGAAATTAAAAAGCACAACTTCTGGGGCCCTTGCAGGTCGGAGGTAGACAATCCCTCGTCTGCAGGCTATAATCATCTCGAAGTGAGCTACTCTCAGTTCCTCTGTCTCTGTTCTCGCCAATGATAAAAGCCTGGTGTAGTGTATATACTTCCTAACTGTACAGTAGAGAGCTCCTGACATATGGAATCAGAACACTGAAACAGGGCTATGTGTTACTGGTACTTGCAGTTTCTCCCAAAGTCACTCTGGCCTGATGTTGGGAGTATGACCACAAAAATGTTTGAAATGTTCATAGTTCCGTTTTTATGCTAAATTTTGGAAGCCTGCTAATCAGAATGTTCTTTCGTTACAATTGTGTGATTAATTGAGCAGCCAGTTATTGATAAATTGTGATCATGCAGAAGAAGGGCTGCTAAAGGGGGAATGAAGCCAGAGTCAAAGACAACAGAAGTAGTGCAGTCCTAGCTGTCTGGTGTGATCATGATCATTTTCATTTCCAGTCTTTTGGTTTATTTTGCTGCTTGTGGCCATTTCCTCATTTATAAAGAATGAGGCATTTACCAGTGATGGCTGTGCAGAGATGATGGTCAATGCCCAGGACCTCTGTGTTCCAGACTGCTACCTGTTGATCTTTCACCTTGAATTACTTTCTCACACTGACAATAAATGTGCTGAAGTAACATTAGCTGACTGGAAAATCAGTTGCAGCAACTGACTACAATTATGAACATTCCAGGAATTGGTCCTCTGGCTCAGCTGTGCGTTTTGACCCCAGTAGTATTGTAGGGTTTCATGAGGTGTATTATTTGTATTTTGTGCGGGAAAGGAGAAACAAATTGTGTGATGGCATCAAGTTTGATTTATTCTAGATTTCAATTACATTACAAAGAACCACAAACTCTACATATCCTGCCATCGGGCATTTACATCGTTCGCTGTATTTGCATGGTGTACTGTGGATGCTGGAGACCTGAAATAACAAAGCGCTGGAGAAACTCAGCGGCACTCGCAGCACCTGTGAAGGGAGAAACAGAGTTAACGTTTCAAGTCCAGTGTGCCAGCTGCTCAACCTGCTGAGTTTCTACAGCACTTTGTCTCCATTTTTTGTGAATATGGTTCAGGACGGAGTTAGAGACAGATAATGCAGGCATTGCTGGAACTTGAGGCATAATATTGAGTATGTTTTCTGTTGCACTCCTTTCAGGAGCAGCTCCATTAGAATTGGCTGAAATTTGAATGTATTGTGATCGGAATGACAGTAGCTTTTATCAAATGCCAAACTCAGCAGGAGCAAGAATCAAGTGTGATATGGAATTGGCAGTCTTCATAAATGATATGTTCCTTGCTTATCCATGCTTTTCAAAATCTGTTTAATTACATTTTATAATAATTAATTTTTAAGAGTTTGTAATCATCTAAACAAATGTCAAATTCATTAGCTGCTCTGTCACACAGTGAGGGCAGCTGTCTTTATTCCACAGCAGTCTCCACAATGCAGACAGGTTAATTGTGAATCTGGGTGACCGATATTTAAGAGTCATGGGCCAAGACTTCCCAAACTTCAGATAGTTGGTGATCAGAAACGCTCTGAAAAATGCTGGTCAGGACCTCAGATATTCTGAAGAACTGAACATGCAGTAATTGACCAAAAAGTTTTAACTTCCAAGGGCAGTTTACCCAGCATCTGGATCTGTATGACAAAGTTCCCAACTTTAAGTTCAAGCAGAAAATTTAGATGGTTCCATTTCGCAGAACTCAATAGTTAGCCAGGGAAAGTTAGATGGTTAAAACCTGTTTAAACTCCAGGATAACTATGAAACTGACCACATACCCACAATACTTGACCACCCTGCAATCTCACCCTAGTATCACATCATACATGTTTCTGGCACTTCAACCTAACCGGTCCATCTGCCCCTTTAATCACCTGGCACCCTAACCCTTCACCTACTCACTTTGCACTCCACCCACAAATCCGACCCTCTGTACCCTCATCTACTTACCTCCCACACTTATCTTCACTCAGTAGCTGTGGGCTGTTTGAGTATTTTACTTTCTGGAATACAGCAGCAATCATCGTAAACATGGGACATAGCTTACCAGCGAACTGTCACAGAAACTGTGTCTATGATTTGCTGGACGGATAGAAAAATCCTGGGAAGGAAACTGAGCTCTTTTTATCTGAACAGTTTGGAAATAGGGATTCTTGCAAACTAATATGTCATTCCAGATCATAAGGAGGCCAGTTGGCTTGAGAGTCCATGCTGGCTCTCTGTGGCATGACCCAATCAATCCCAATCTCCTGTTCTATCCTCTGTCACTCTAATTTTGTTTCTGTCAAACACCCACCCAATCTCCATTAAAATCACTCATGGACTCCACTGCCGTCATCCTTGTCAATGTGTTCCAGGTCATTACCACCCTGCATAATAAAAAAAAAAAAAGCCCTTTCTCACCTGTAACTCTCTCCCAAGCAGTTAAATATGTGTCCCTTTGTCCTTGTGCCTTCAACAAATGGGAACACCTATTCTTTAACTGCCATCTCAAAAAGCCATCTCAAAACTTGTGGAACCTTGTCCACTTCTATCAAATCCTCCCTCAAGCTTCTTTGGTCCAAGGAGAGCAAGCCCAGCTTCTCTAGCCTAACTTTTTATAATGATTCAGTGAAATTCAGGTTTTCGTATGCTTTGCTATCTTCTGTCTTAATACGTCTTTTTACCTTCAAGGTCTGTGTATGTAAATTCCAGGTCTGTCTGTGCACATTCTTTATAACTGTGCCATTAAGTCTGTCTTGCTTCTTCCTGTCCCTTCTGCCAAAGTGCTTCACCTCACAATTACCTATCAAAAATTCCACTTTCCTTTGTGTTCACATTCTGCTGGGCTGCCCTGTTATGGTCCTTTGGCATCATCATCACTATCTCCCATACTTTTAGGTTTGGTATCATGGAAAAATGTTGAATTTTACTCTTTATACACTTCACAGTTCCTGATGGAATACCACTGTCTACAACCCTCCAGTCAATTACTTGATAATAAAACAAAGAATTGCGGATGCTGGAGATCTGAAACAAAAACATAAATTGCTAGAGAAACTCAGCAGATCTGACAGCATCTGTGGGGAAAAGCAGAGTTAATGTTTCAAATTTGGTTCTGATGAACAGCCACTGAACTCAAAGCATTAACTCTGCTTTCTCCCCATGGATGTTGCAAGACCTGCTGAGTTTCTCTAGCAATTTCTACTTTTGCTCCAGTCTATTACGTAACTAAGCATGCGCTACCTTTTTACAGGTCTGTGTTGGGGTTCCTCAATGAACTCATTTTTTTCAGGTGCCTCTAGATTTTTTTACTGTGGTTATTGTTCCTATAATGTCATCGACAATCGATGCTAAATTGATTGGCCTGTAGTTGACACAAAAATTCTTTCATCTCTTTTTTGGGATAAAGATAGCACATTCAGCGCACTCCAGTTGTCCACAATGTTTGGCCAAATCTGGGACAATATTGACAAACCTTTTCACGAGCCTCCTATCTGCTCTGAGCATGTTCCAGGGAATCCTGTCTATCAGTTCTTACCTCATCTATTACATCTGTCATCTTCGCTTCTACCAATATTTGTCAGTTTCCTCTTGGTAAGCAGAGGTACAAATTACTCATTAAATATTATAACCTGCATCTTTGCCTATATCACCCTCTTTGGTCCTATTAAGGACAGTGTTCCCCAAAGATCTGATCATGGCGATCAGCATGCTGATACTATATGCAGCATTGAATTCTGGTTCTGGATGTTGCTGCCACACACAGCTTAGAGGTTTCTGAAGGAGAAAAATTAGCAGGAATCCTGAATAGGACCCACCTCACTCTTTACTATCTGTTTCCTGTTTATGTGCCAGTAGATTTTTATGTCCCTTTCATCTGACTGCTGATCTAATCTCATAAATTCTTAGTGGTACTTTCCTCTGTTTTCCCCCTCAACTTTTTGCATTTGGCCTGGTTCTTGCTTGAAGAATTATTTGATGTGCAACATGCATTTTATTTTTTGTTTTGTTGTATTCTCTATCTTCCATGTCCTCCAAGGAATTCTGGCTTGGTTCTCTTCTTTTATGCCTTTATCGGAATGTATTTGAAAGTTCTTACCTGTAAAACATTTTTTTCTGTCAACTCATTGGATCATTGAAAGTCCCACAATATTAGCACTCTATGGCTTTTTCACATCGCTGTGATTTTCCTGCAGATTCATTCCTTTTTCTCCCTCACACTCTCATTAGCAAAATTTTTCCCTTTTACTTCTCCAGTGGCTTATGTCTTTGCCCTTTTTAAAACCAGTTCCCCTTCTCCTTCTCTGTCTTTTCTGATCACTTTGTATGTTTGAATGTTAAGTACCATTATTAAAGCCATGTTTCTGTTATTATTCCCCACAAAGCTATTTTTGCATACAGCCCACCTTATTCAGCACACTTTATGGTTATATAGGTGCATATATATAGGATTATTTTTATATGGAAATGAGCTGATTAATTGATTTGCTGTTTAACATAACAGTAATAAATAGGTTAAACTTTCTTTATCTACAATGATAGAATGATTCAGCAGCCAATCACAAACAAAAACAGACGTGCTGGGAAAACTCAACAGGTCATTGTGAGGAAGGGTCTCCAGACCTGAGAGATTAACTCTGATTTCTCTTCACAGATGCTACCAGACCTGCTGAGCTTTTCCAGTAACTTCTGTTTTTTGTTTCTGATTTACAGCATCCACTGTTCTTTCAGTTTTAGTTGAACCATTCTACCACTTGGCCTTAATCTTGTTACAAACCTCAGCTAAACCAGTACCTAATGTGTAAAATACAGGTATTTTTGGCAGAAGTGGGTTCCCATTGTAAATGGCATTTATAACACTAGAAATTGGACAAAATGCTGAGCATTATCGCCACCAAGATTAATACTAACACCCCAGATTTCCATGTCAAACAGCAAACTACCAACTTATATTTGAAGCAAATGCCTTTTCTTCCCCATCCCATTGCTGCCAACTCTGAATAAAATTAACAAATTTCAAAACGCTGATATTTTGAAATCTACAATTTTGTTTGCTACTTATAAATGCGATTTACTGAATACCTGGCGAACACGCTCGTTAGCTGTGTAAAAGTCAAGTTCATGCCCTTACAGAACAGAACCCTCAACTTGAAGAATTAGCAACATGTGAAAATGATCATAAGAAGCAACCACTTGTTACATCAAGCTTACAACAATGTGAATTTATAAAAAAAACCTCTTTGACATTGTGAAACATTCCAAGTGTTAACTTGATAATTCCCAGATAAGTATAATGTGGCAGCTGCATAACAACCCAAGGCCAAAGCAGAGAATGTTCGTCTGATTTTAAAACGCCCACATGTCCTGATGGAGGGACTTATAAAATTAAAACTTCTTTTCAAAGTTACAAGTAAGTATCTTTACCGTTCTTGTGCTGTGTTCAAAGCCTCTGTTTAGACACTTATTAGTAGTATTGCTATCTTTTCTGATATTTTATATGTGTCTGTGTAAAAATGCTTGAGGTTTTAGCCACTGCATTCACTGTCTCAGCTCTCCCTTACTTTCCTGTTTTTGAGAGATTTTTAGCAGCTCGAGCCCAAGCAGAATGCCTTCTTGGTTAGCAACATGGAGAACAATGGGCCTGAATTGGCAAAAAATGGAGGGTAGCAAGAGAAATAGATTTAATAGATATAAGGTATCTATTTCTTTGAGTAGAGTTTATTTTTTATTCAATCCTGGGTGTCTATTAAGTGGCATGCCAATGTTTTATGATCTCTGCTGATGTTATTACTAGACACGTAATGTCCCAGATTGAAATCTGTTTCATAGATCTTATTTTGGTTTCCTTTTAATGTGGCCTGTCACTGAAACATAACCAGACAATGTTGCCAATTTAGTTTTAACAATAAAAAAGTTTGTTTAGCAAAATAAATGAAGATAAAATAGATTAAGCCAATTGTTTAAATACAACACGCTTCAGGGTTTTGAAACATGATAAAATAATACCCCATTAATCCTAAAAACACTCCATTACAGATTCCAAAAACACCAGTGGACAGTCAGTCATTAAACATTTCCAAACACACTGAAAATCCATATGCTTCTAGTTCAAAATTCAAAGATCCAAACCTTAAAAACAAGATATTAAAAATGTATACAAGTCTCATACTGTATAACACAGTGTCTTTCTGTTTATATTTCTCTATGCCTAGTTGTATGTCTCCACCTGTGTATGTATCTCTCTGACCTTGAGAGGGGGTCAGAAATACACATTTAATTCCTGAAATGCACATCCCCAATTCACCTAACAAGTATTTTTGAATGTGTAGCTAAACTCCCTTGACATAATGTGGAGGTGCCGGTGTTGGACTGGGGCGGACAAGGTCAGAAATTGCATGACACCAGGTTATAGTCCAACAGGTTTATTTGAATCACAAGCTTTGTGTTTTGAGGTGATCTCACCTGATGAAGGAGCAGCACTCTGAAAGCTTGTGATTTCGAATAAACCTGTTGGACTATAACCTCGTGTCATGTGACTTCTGACCTAGTCCCTTGACATAAGTTGTAACGCAGTTGGGTCATGATAATTCAAATCCCACCCTGATGCCCCTAGAATTCCACAGTACCAAAAATATAAATGTTTTATTCAATGAGCAAAATGGTCAGTTTGTTTCTCTTTTATTACTGTTATAAGTGCAAGAGACTTTCATTCGGTTTCTTTAATGAACCAACAATATTTATCAACAAACTTATTCTTTAAACAAGTTGGAATTAAACTATCTCCCCTTAATCACAATGCACACTCACACAATCATACAACAGTCAAGCCAATTCTGCAGAAATGGCACAGATTTGACGAAAAAAAAGGCAAATGGGAAAAACACTCCAGTGGGTCTGGACTCCGGATAAATAAAAGGAAAAACTCATGATCAAGTGGATATCCTATTGTCAAGATTACAGTGCTGACCATGGGAGAATCAATGAGATCTTCAAATCAGACCAGTTCAAGTGAGAGTCCATTGGAGTTCAGTCTTAGAATAGAGTTAACAGTTCAGCTTTCTGAGTCAAGAGGCAGTTAAAGACATGGATTTCTAGAACTTCCTCAGATTCCCAGAAGATACTTTACTGGGAGACCAGTCTGTGCCCCTTGCCTTGTAAAGTTTGCTCTTTTTTGGGAGAGAAAGATCTTTAGTTTTGGTGCCAGCTTCTTGGAAGTTTTTTTTTTCTTCAACTTACATACCTAAGTGTGTACAGAAATAGCAACTTTAGTTCAGAGGCTGATGCAAGGCAATCTTCACTACAGGGTTTTCCATCAGTTTGGTAGTTACCATTATAAAATCCATACTTCATCTATCTCTTAAAAAGTTTTACCTTGCATTCTTTCCATAAAGTCAGTTATCTTTTTGCAACAATACATGAACTACAACCCTCTACAACTTCTGAATATTCAGTCATTCCTGCTGAACATGCCTCCCAGAAATAATATGCATAAAATTCTTTTTGAATCCAGAGTGCCCAGTAAGTTTCATATTCCATATCTTCATAGTCCTTTATAATGAATACAATTCCCAAAAAGGAGAACAAAAACCCGGTGTTCTCTGATTTGTTTTTATTCATTGCTGCCATACCCCAAAAGTTAGAAGTCTATGTGTTTCTCCTTTTTAACATAGTCCCTGCTGAGTAATTCAACAACATGTACAGTTTAAAGTATTTTGTGGATAGTTCAATGTTTTAATCATGTAATTTTTAGTTATATTTTCATTTCAGTTGTAAACCCCAAAGGTAGCCTTTCCATTAAACACTGGACATTTACTGGTCTTGTTTGTTCATTTACGGGTAATTTGTTACATCAGAATTTGATACAAACATAGCAGATTCATTCCAGATGGGGAAATTTCCGTCTTCATGGTTTTGTTATTGCAAATGAGTTACGGGTTTGTCAGTTAAGGTGCCACCCCACTGTCTAGAATACATAAGTAACAGGACCAGCATTAAAGGAAATGCAGTATCGAGGGACCACCACAATGATGGAAGGGCAGTATTGAGAGAGGACATATGGAAGGGCACCAGTGAGACAACAAAGATGGGAGGG